CCTCAGCTAACCAGCAGGTTCAGCAGGTTAGAAAGCTGTACAGTATGGTTAACAGCAAATCTTTGTTTTATCCATCCTGACAGGTTCTGCTGTATCATACAGATATTTATTTTTCTAAGGTAATATTATAAATCACTGTCAGGTCATCAGCATTCCCACAGATTTCCAAAGCATTTCTTTACCTGCCAAAGTTCCACAGACCCAGGTTGCTGTATAAGCTGCTCCCAGAACGGGGCACACAGCTCTGTACTGTGCTCTGCCAAAGCACCCTCACTCAGGAAGAGGTTGTAAGAAAGAAGCTGGCCCCAAGAGTTACGGCTTAAGGACACCATGAGACCTTTATTAAGACCACCTCCAGCAATAGTTTGTATTAATCATAACAAAATAAGCCAACATTTTACTTAAACAAAAGCTTTTTTTCCATTCATTATTCACTTAGGAAAAACTAATCAATTAATTTCGCTAGTAAGAGAATAAGTTAATGTACTACACGTGGTACATTGTCTTCAATCTGAATGATTCGTGCACATCTACAAATTAAAAACAGCTTAATCCTCCTAGTTAAACAAGACCCACTGGTTCAATTTTATATATAGTGGAATCATGATTAAGGCCAAATTACAAATTCTGTCAGGACCCTGGATTAAGGTGAGAGATCATCAGGGGCTTTCATAGGACCATCTTCCAGCTGAGAACAACTGGAGTGTGACATGTGCTTGCCATGCCTCCTTCTCTGCCTTATACAGCCCATTACCATAGAATCATAGAATCACAAGGTAGGAAAAGACCTGCAAGATCATCTAGTCCAACCATCCTTCCATTACCATTGCTACCACCAACCATATCCCGTAGCTCCTCATCCAGACACCTCTTGAACACCACCAGGGACAGCAACTCCACCACCTCCCTGGGCAGCCATTCCAGTGCTTGACCACTCTCTGAGAGAAAAAGTTCTTCCTTATGTCTAATCTAAACCTGCTCCGGTGCAACTTGCGGCCATTTCCTCGAGTCCTGCTTGTTGCCTGGGAGAAGAGGCCAAACCTCTCATCACCACAACCTTCCCTTTCCTCCCCTCCCCTTCCCTTTTCTGTGAATGAATCTCAAAAAAAATTAAAGATGAAATAGAATTAAGTTCAGTCATTATTCTGCGAGAATCATATTCACTTCTAGAAGTTGAAATTACTGACTTTACCAGCTAGCAATATGATTGAAGTCCTGATAATAGGAAATGGTATCTCGAATGCCAGGGTTACCAGTGTCACACAAAGTTGCTTACTCTGTACCACAGTAATGCTGCAATGCTCTTGTGCTGCCCTGCTTTGCTATAGGTTACATGATCAAAACTAGGTCCATGCTAAATGATTTGAAGTAAAACAGGCCCTTTATTTTCAGACCATCTCAAGGGCTTTTGGAAGTGGGAGGAAACCAAGCGCCAGCAAATGGATCTAGGAGGGCCTGACCTAAGGATAAGGTTAAGTGGTGTAATAATCTCCATGCTGAAATTGATGCTGTATAGCAGCTTCCCTGATGTGCTTGGTCACAAGGTGAACCACTGTAAGCCCACCTCACAGATTTTCTGCCCAAATCACTTAAAGTTTGAGGCTCTGTCAAACACAGGAACTCCCACCTAAAACACTTTCCTTTCTACTTACTAAGGACTACTTTCTTTCAGGCTGTACTCACTGATAACCTTATCATATTTCTGTTTACTTCACTGTTCTTTATTTAGTGCTGTGATATTTGCTTCCAAAAACTACTTTTCAGATACAAAAATTTAATGCAGAGTGCTAAAGCTGGCATATGCATACCACGGAAGCCCAATCTAAGCATTAACTTTTGTTCTATACAAATTTTCTAAATGCAAAACATTTCTTAGATTACAGAGTTTCTTCTCTGAGAATCAAAAAGTTAATGCATGAGTTTCCTTTGTCATCGTTGTTACAGAGGAAAACGATCAGTCTAACAAAAAGTTTCTTTTCAGATATTGTTGGATGGGCATTTTGATCAGATTTTTTTGTTTTGTTTTGTCTGGTTGTTTTTATCTTCTAAAGAAAGATAAAACTAGCTAATGACTTGCAGAGTTTCTGTTTTAACAACATGCTTGTTGTTAAGACCAGCAAAGGCAACACTCTCCACAGACTTCATTAAGGGAAAATGTCTCAATGTCCTGCTCTCAGAGACATTACACATATCTTCCCTTTGCAGAAAAAAAATAGCTGAGCTAAATTTGGAATTTTTCTGAAGTAAGAAGGAGACTCTAAGTTAAGAGAAGGATCCATGAAGAATTATTCCCTGATGGCTTGGGAAGGATTTGTTTCTGACATGTTCCAGCTCAACCCAACCGCACTCTTGAGGTACAACTGTGTTAGAGAAGATTTTTTTTTTTTTTGCTTTGGAAGGATTACTCACCAGCTTACTCAAACTGAAACACGATGGTATTTCAGTATGTAGAGAAGAAATAGTAATCTGATAAAAAACAGGAAACAGAGGTAGAAATGCTTAATGTGTTGAAGATAGAAAATGAAGAAAATTCTACTCGCGCCTCATGCAGAGCAGTTCGCAAAGAAAGATGGCAGATCTAATGTCAGTTAGGCATGCTGTACAGAGATAAATAAAAGCAGACACATTGATGTGTGAGCTGGATATACTATCTGAAATTTCAAAAGACTGGGGATATGGCACCGATAACAGGATCCGTCAAAAGACACGAAGAGCTAGAAGACCAACATTCCGTATGAAGACAAGGACGGACTTTCATCTCAGCTAGGAAAAAAAAATGGAATTTGAATAGTACATCAAAAACAAAGTGCAGAAAAGTAGAAACAAACTGATGCTTCACACAGTATTGGGGTGCAGATTCATACTGATAGGCAAGTAGGTGGCCAAGAAAAATAGGAAGTAATTAAAAAACAGAATAGACATAATCCATCTAGGAGAGTTACTAATCCCTAAATATGACTGCTGCAAACAGTCCACCATACTCACAACAAATGGACACAGATATTCTGTGCTGACTTGCCTATGGTCTGTACAGATAAGAACAGAAGAACAATCAGAAGTTTAATCCACATTTACAAAAACTCTCCCTTTAAAATCAAAGTGCTTGTATGCATGACAGAAATAAGGGTGAGGACTCAGAAGTGGGGGCAAGTTGTTTACAATATAGGCATTGAAGATAATATGTTTTGTTTGCATTCAGAAGACATCTGAATAACCTATCATCTCAGCCAATTGTTACAGAAAACTTATTCTTCTTTCCTAAAGAAGTAATGTTTGATTGCTCTCTCAAACAAACAGCTGAGCTATGATCCCACAGCAACAAGGGATCTGTCTGTTCATGCTCTCCAGTAAGCCTAGCCTTTTCACTTAATCAACCATACCCCAAGTTGTTGAGACTCATTCTTTCAGCTCTGGCCTCTTGAGTTGGCCAAGGGAATCACTACAATAATGAACTTTGAGAATTTTGTCAAGCAATCTTCTATTTAAGCCTCAAGAGGTAAACATAGCCTCAGTTTGGTTGATTTCTTTGGATTGATGAGGAACACTATGGTGCAGAGAAATCACACATATCCCAGTCCAAAGGATGGTAAAAATTAAGGTGCTAATATATGATTGTAAGGCCTTCAGATCAACACAGAAGTTGGGCAGGAAAATATTTACTATGCTAAAAGTGCTAGGAGAAACTCAAAACTCTAACCCATTGTCAGTGATCGTTCCCTTAAGCACGCTTCCTGATCAATACTTGAGAAGCCTTAACTTTGCTCTCCAAAGTAGCCAAAAAAACACTGATTTTATCTCAATTTATATGTCAGAGCTATATAAAAATGCAATAACCTTTTTGTTTAAATAGTTTTTAACATTTTTTCTATTTACATAAGCACAAAAATGTATTAAACCAAAGATTCTTGGAGATAAAATAACACTTTAGAAAACCACAAAGTAAAAAAAATAATAAAAGCAAGCATTAATCTGACTTAAAAAATGAAGGTGATGAAAATAAATTAAATTAAATTACCCTATACATCTAAGAACCTTGATTATAAGCTCTACCATATTATATAACCAAAGCAGAAATTTGAAAAAAGTGAAAGAAAAAAACACCAAGACAGTATTAATAAAATAATGAGAAGTGTCGCAGAAAGGTTAATGAAATATTGGTAATGATTAATGGTGTAATGGATAACTCTATGTATCTTTACAGAATGAAAATATCCAAACTACCTCAGCTTTAATAATCATATTCCCAGTGAGTGCAGATGAGAAACTTAAAATGTACGTATAAGACTGGAAATGGTTATAAAAAGATCAGAGGCTTTCAAAATTCACTGTGTACTGGGTCTAGTGAGTGTAATGCCAAGAGTAATATATGAAATCTGATCTGACAGTTTCACAATTTTCCTTTGTTTGAGGAGATCCCCATGCAATGAAAACCTACAACATCATGCCAAAACTGAAAGAAACAGTGGAAAGGATTCAGTGGTAACTACCACTAGTCCATTTCTCGCTGGCAAAATATAAAAAGAAGATGAAGAATTAATTACATTAGGAAATCCAAGGGAACATGGTTTAGATTAAAGGACTTTTTTTTTAAGCAGTCAGCTGGAAGGCTGATATAGTACTGCTCATGCAGATGTTTGGAAAGTATTTCACAAACTCTAATCTTGGAGAGTGTCTAAAGGCTTTTGCTCTTCCACTGCTCCATGCCATCTCCAATTTATCTTCTGTACAAAATAGAAACTACAGCTTCTAGTCAAATAAGACGAGTAATTAAAAACAAGCAAAAAAACACGACACAGTAGAATATAAATATTACAGTCTATATTCTGTAGGTCCAGTATCTATAATAGATTGGCAGATCCCTTTTTATCAATAAGCAACAAAAATAGAGTAATAGCTATCTGTCAAAACTAGGTTTAATTCACTCCCTTGGTTCATATTGGCACAGAACAGTATATTGCTACACTGAAACCTAGGAGTTCAGACCTGTTTGTGTGGCTTACCTTGAACAATCCAGCTCTATATTGCTCTCTGGGTAGTCATGGTCATCTGCCTACAGAGGCAACAGCTCTGTCTGATCTTGGTTTCTCAGCCCATCTCCATTGGCAGTTTCTGATATATTGATAGTTCCACAGCATTCTATAAACATCAGACACACAAACAGGTTACTTCAGAAGTGAAGAAGAGTATGGCAGAATGTCTGACCTATATTTAACAATCATAAGCGGCATTAAGATCCTTAAAACCAAGGTATGCAAAGGTAGAGCAGTTCTATGTCTGCTCCTCATCTGGTTACATGTACCACAGTATCTATCCTCAAATATGCTCTGTTCTCAAAGCAGAAGAAATAAGAATGAAAAGGGCTGTGATGCTGACCACTCCACAACGTAACAATATTAATTCAGTACTGCACAAGTCAGAGGAAATGCCAGTGTCCTTGGAGCTGACCCAGTCTGCTAGCTATTCTTTATGCCCCAATGACTTGAAGTGATAGATGAGGAAGAATCATCTTGCAGTGTTAATAACTGTGCACTCACAGAGATGTGAAGGAGCTCAGCGTTTGTCTTGAAGGGCAGGAAGGCCATCCCTAGAGCCTTTGCCAGAGACACCAGATGTGCAGGGAGGAAGCAGAGATACTAACAGTGTGGAATCAGCAGTGTTGAGTGATGGGTAGGAAGGTGAAAGAGGAAGCAAGCAGAAGGGATGGGATGAAGAGAAAGTCTTGCCAACAAGTTCTGGTACAAAAACATTGAGAATCTCTGAGCTTGTGTTTGGGTCAAGTTCTGGGCCAATGCTCCTGGGTTCTGTTAATTCATTTTGTAACTGCTTACAAAAATTTGTCTTGTGATGAGGAGCTCTGAGCGGTCTTCAGCTTGAAGGATGAGGGCTTCCACTGTCATGTCCTTAATCCACAATATTTCTCTACCACCAGAGATGCTGTGTGTGTCTGAAATATATAGAGAATTATTGATGAAAGACGTAATACAAGACTGAGCATTTTTTTTATCACAAAAACATACATCTAGCACTCAAGGGCATTTCCACTGCTGGGAACCTAAATTAGATATAAAGCCTTTTGATTCACTCTTTAAAATCAATTTCTGCCTTCAAAAGAAAGAAGATTAGATGAAGGGAAAGGTAAAGAAAATGGATACTCTTTTGCCAATCCACAATTCATTCAGAATTAAGATTTTCACTTTCCAACCTCCTCATAAGTGTACATTTTTCTGCTCATGCTAGCTCTTTCATTAATTATTTCTCTGAACTCTTGCTTTTTAGCCACATTCCACACAGTCTGGTCCTGCAATTCCAGTCACAGCCTTTGGGTTTCTTATTTCCCTTCTTCCCTAAAGCAGAATTAAACCCTGCTGGTTGGAGCCAGCTCAGCCTCAAAGCTGGGAGGCAGCTCAGACTGTGCATGTTCTCTGTACCATGCTTTGCTGCAGCGACAAGAGCACTCTCACTCTTGGGGCCCTTTCCAGAGGACTGCTCTTCCTTCTGTCTCTACCCACAAGCTATCAGGTCCCGCAAAGAGAAATGCTTCATGCTGCTTTTCCCCTCCCTGCTGACTAGATGCATTTTTGCATATCAGTTCTGAGCATCTCTTAAAGTCTGTCTCTGAGTGGCTAGAAGAAGTGTTATCTAATGGTAATATCCAGCCAGACAGATTCTCCTTTGCTATCCACTTCATTGTTGCAAGTATGATTATGAAGGATGACTCCTGCGTTAATGAAAGAGAATGGAATTTCCATTGACTTTAGCAGGGTCAAAACTTCACCCTGAAGGACCTATCACTAGGAATGGGACAGAATTTCCATTTTCACAAAGAATTTGCAACCCTTTAATTATGCTGTAAAACCTCAAATATTTTCTTCGCAGGGCAAAGTTCGTATCTTATTTCAGATGAATGTAGTGGCTGAGCATCATCAGCTGCCAGAAAACCTTTAGAAGTTACTTAAAATAAGAACAGGCATAAAAGAGAAGCAGGGTGGGAAAGGGTTGTTTGCTATTAAACATGAACACAAACCAAGCTGGGCCTTTTGTCTATTCCCTTCCCCCATTTCGTTCACACAGTCCTTATCACCCTTCAGACAGCCTCGGAATGCTAATTTTTCTAATCACTTGGGGACTGAAAACTGCAGAAACTGTAGAAATTAACCAAAATATTATTTTAAACTTTGTTTAATGAGCCTGGATTCACACCTGAAAATAAGCTCCCAATCCTTCCATTCTTCCAATAATGGCATTTCCACACGTTCTGAAAAACTAAAATTCAAAGCAAAAATTTGAAAACATTTCCAAAGGTCTGTTTCAATCAGAACTAGCAGGTAGCTTTTACAAAGAAGTGGTTTTAAATGAAAGCCTAATTGTTCTCTTTTTGCAAATGTTTAGAACTTCTTTTCATATAGAAGCAGATGATAAGGACGTTCAGAATGGTTCGGTGAAATGATACTGTAATGATAAAATTCAGATCAGCTTTAAACTTTATTGTATTTTCCACCTCTTTCTAAGCTTTAAGGATTTCAATTATTCTGTCTCTCTCAGCGATGAAGTCTATATGCATGTATCCCTCATTTAACACTAATGACAACGTAAAAACCTTCACACATCAAATACGTGACTATATGCTTTTGTCTATCCTAATGGTTTGAGAGAAAATCTTGATAAATCAAGGCTTTTTTTTTCGTTTCCTCTTTCTTAAGTTTTGTTGCCTCGATTAGATAAAAAAATAGGGGCCTGTCAATCTGTTTTCTTTTCAAGTCTCCTCTGTCTCTTTCTAAATTAGTTACAGCCTGCTTTTTGTAGCTCTATAGCCAGCCTGACCTAATTTAATTACCATGACTTGTGTGGCTTAAAGATAAATAGTTTTATTCAGTCAGTCTACTTTTGTATAAGTTTTCCCTTTCATGCATCTCCTTATGTTTTGGCATTCAGAATTCTTGCTCTCTGTTCCTCAGTGGGTTAACACAAGGTTAGTTTTATAGCGTTGTCCATATTCTCACAAAAAGAACCGTTTGATGTTGCTCTGCTCAGCTCCTGCTTTGCTCTGTCCAGTTGCACGCTGTGAGTGATCAGGCCTTTGTGGGGAACAGGCAACCAACCTAAGGAGCATTTCCACAATGCCACTGGCAGCCAGTGGCACTGGCTCAGTCTGAAGAGCTAGGGATGGAAGACACTCTGTCATTTCTGTTGTGAGCTGCAAATCGTCAAAGCAGAGGTTGCTCATACACCAGCTACTGTCTGTGTACTTTTTTTCTTCTTTGAGGAAATTACTTCATGAATCTAAGTATGACACACTGCTGAGAGAGGAAGGCTGGAAGACGTGGGACAGTGAAGATAGTGGCTACCGCACCACTCCTGTGCAAACATGTGACAAATCCCCTGCTCAACACATATAATTATGTTCATTCCAGGCTTTAAGGACAAAGAGAAACAAGTTCCTAGGGTTACAATCAGGCTGTCATCAATAATAGTGATCTTAATAAAGAAATATTTTTAAAGCCAACTGGATCTACCTTCAGGTATTCTGTTCTATCAAGCCCTTGCAATAACTTAATTTAGAATGATAGGATGGGGTGATATGTGGATATGTGATGCGCTTGAGAACAAGAAACCACCAAGAAATCATCATCACAAACTTCGGAAGTCAGAACTGGGCTCCCAGGTTGCAGGGCTTTACAGAGGTGCTGCAGCAGCACTTTGCTTGCACTACAAAACTGTCCTATAACAAGCTCCATCAGAATAAGCACAGAACATTTGACTGCAAATGTATTTAAATAAAAACGTGTGTGTGTGGAACTATACAGAAATGTGTGAAAAATCTCACCACTCTTTTAAAAACACTGTTCAGTAGAATAGCACCAGCAAAAGGAAGACAAATAAAAGTATTTAAATGATATTTCAATTTTCAGTCATTTCAAGTCAGTTGCACATATAGATGAGAAGATGTTAAGTTTTTCAGATAAACCAAAAGGGACCATCAGGCCAAGTTCTAGTGGAACTACGTAAACAGTACCCTTAAATAAACAGAGCATGTCTTTGTACTTGTGCCAGAATCCAACCCACCATAGATACAAAGTAGAAACAGCAATTCCATGTGTTAGCACCCACAGAAAGGAAAGAATCCATTGACACTTCCATGCTTGGAAAACAGAGGTGAATCATTTCTTTCCAGCCATGATTAACCAGAAAACACTGCAGAAGCAATAAAGAGGGAAACAAAAAGATGCATTTGTTTCCTGTTAACTAAAACAGCCCGACAGTGCAGTGATGCATTTGTCATAAACATCCACTGGTGTCCTGCTTCAATTCCTCTTAAAACCTGTGACAGACTGACTTCTATAAACAGTAAGTTTGATGATCAGTCATTTCTGTTGATAAAAACTCAATGTATACCTTACCTTTATCCAGTTCTTCACAAACAGCACCAAAATAATTATAAGGCAGCCACCTCTAAAGTGCAACTGGGTCAGGTCACTGGGGCCCCTACAGCTGTATTAAAAAAAAAAAAAAAAAAAAAAAAAAAGCGCCTGCTGAGAAGATAAGGTTTTTAAAGGCTCCACAGATGGATACAGACATACAGACATACAGACAAAGACACAAGGGAAAGGGAAACTTTATGGCACACTATTAATCTTTCTTAGAAAGATGAAGTGTTGCTGTGACCTTGATGACATCTGAAGCTGTCATTTGGAAGGAGGGAAAAAATGGAGACCAGAACACTTCAAATAGAGCATTGTCATCACCAAAGTACACCTACCATTGAGATTCCCTTTAAGTGCAAAGAAAATACTTATTTTGTAGGACATAGCTTGCCTGAATAATCTGCTTACCGTGGCCCACTCTCACAACCTCTCATATGACATTCTCAACCAAATAGATGTCTTTCCCTTACTGTAGAAATCAGATTTCCTGGCCTTTTGCTGAACTAGCAGAGAGTTGCTGGTACATGTCAACCAAAGACACAACCAAGCATCCTCTCTACTGCTGAAGAACAACAACAAGTATGTCCGTGGTTGTATCTAGACACTGATGAATAAGTCGTCTACCAACTGAGTAGCCTTCTTCAGCACTTGTTTCCCACTTAAATCAAGGATCAAACAAGAAGCTTCACTTCTTTTACAGCAGGCTTAAAATTGCTGTAGCTATACAATAACAACTACTGATTGGACACAAAGGTGTTTTGGGGTGTTGGTATGCTTTTCAAGAGTATCTAAAAGCATAAAGACAGAGACTGTAGTAACTGTGCTGGCTTATTCAACTGAAGGGCAATTGTATTCCTGTATCTGTAGTAATCTGTATCTGATACAGATTATAGCTGTGTTTCTGTGTGCATCAGTAAAGATATTGTATTATCAGGTACAGAATCACAGTATGAATCTGCACAATACAAGTTAATTCCATAAGTTAGTAGCTTAGTTCATTGATCCTTGTGGGACAAAGTCAGTCAGTACATCTTTGGCCCATAGGTCTGTGACACTGGTGCTTAGTCTGAATTGAATTAATAATGATCATAACCTCTAAAATCTAAACACTAAAATACGGGGAAAAAAAAACCCTTGACTGCAGATTATTTTAAACTGTGCCATAAACAGATACAATTTATAACAAATTTTTCTACTATGAAAATGCTCTCAAAGCTGTCCACAGATAAAAAAAAGCTTTGCACGGAGATATGTCCTCTATACCCAAGAAGTTCATATGAAGAATGCTGACAAATTATTCAACTACTCTCCTGGACACTTTAAAATACATAAAGGAAGCAACCAATCAATACAAATGCTACTTTAAAAAAAAAAAAAAAAAAAGAAAGGATTGTGATGTTTCTTCCTCTTTCCAAATAAAGAAAGACTTGACAGGAAAATATGAGTGATAATCTTAGAAATATACATATGTATATATATGATTCAGCTTCTGTACATTTCTACAGCCATTG